TTTCAAGTAAAATCATTTTATCTATAATAAATTGTGTAGAGTAAATTAAACAAAATAGAATCATAGCTATGAAAAAAAAGAAAAAGAAAGTTGATTCAAGATTAGATACGCCAGAAAAGATAACAGAATATAAGAGGTATTTGACACTTGCTGTAAAAAAAAAAAACAAAAAAAACTACCCATACATTACACCATACATAACCCCATATCACCCATACATCACCCCATACCACCCATACATCACCCCATACCACCCATACATCCCCCATCATCACCCCATACCACCCATTCATCACCCCATACTACCCATACATTACACCATACATAACCCCATATCACCCATACATCACCCCATACTACCCATAATTCACCCCATACCACCCACCATTTATACTCACCGTAAAGAGACTGGATTCCTCTGATATCATCACTATGCAGTTTCATATTTTTAACATAACCAGTATAGTATGGGTACATAATGGCTCCTTTAACATCAGTGTGGTGAAGACCCAGGGCATGACCGAACTCGTGGGTGGCTACCCACTTCAAGTTGGTTCCCTCTGAGGTTTCGTGAGTGAACTTTTCGTCCTCGTCGAAGTGAGCGCGACCGTCAGAAGGGAAGAAAGCATGAGCAAGGACTTTGCCTTGGCCATCGAAGGGATAACCACAGGTGCTCTCGGCATTCGTTCCTTGATGGGTTTTGGAACCAAAGCTGTAAATATACAAATAATGAATATCATAAATATCGTTGATAATGGTGGAAATGATGGTGATAATTGATTATAGCGAGCATATTATGGTGTTGATGATTGTTGGTTGCGAGTATAATTTTGATAATGATAAATGATGGTGGTGGTGATGATGATGATGATAGTGATGATGATGATGAAAACTGATGGTGGTGATGATGATGATGATGATGAAAAATGATTGTGGTGATGATGATGATGATGGTGGAGATGACTGATGATGAAAAATGATGGTGGTGGTGATGATGATGATGATGATGATAACTGATGGTGGTGGTGATGATGATAATGATGAGAATGATGATAACTGATGGTGATGGCGATGATGATGAAGATGTAGATGACTGATGATGAAAAATGATGGTGGTGATGATGATGATGGTGATGATAACTGATGGTGATGATGACTAATGATGATGATAACTGATGGTGATTACTAATGGTGGAAATGCTAATTATATATTGATGATATAATAATAACGATGATGATGATAATGATGATAAAGATTGAAAGTGATGCGCATTTCCTATAAAAAAATAACCTCGTACCTAGTACCTAGTATTTCAACTAACCTAATCTTGATATCAGCATGTTCAGCCCTTCCAACTTGTCTAAACGACAATCCAGATACATCAGCCCAGTATTTCAATGCATAGTAGAACACGTTATCCTGTGTGCGTGTTGGAAGGTCCCGACCATACTGGATGAAGTAGTACAGTTCCTTCTTACCCCAGGGTTCTGCTGTCTTGTACCTACGGACTCTCAATCCACTCTCGTCCATGTCAGGAAGACCACATCTTGGTTTCTTCATCTGAGTGATGGTGGCAGCATCCACGCGTCCGGTCTCTGGGATTCCAGCGAATTTCTGGAAGTTTTTCAGGGCAGTTTCCACGTTTTGGTTGCCGGATCGGGATTGGGAGATGTACTGGTACTGATTCAGGTATTTCTAGAATTTTATTTCAAAAATGGATAAAATGAATGAATTATTGATTGATAATTAATGGCTCAGTTTTTATTTTTTATTATTTATCTTATTTACATTTATAGATAAAAATTTATACATAAATATATATATATATGATAAAATAAATAATTATTATTTGTTATAGGTAAAACTTCAATGATAATCAATAAAAAGGTTTATTATATGGCAAGGTAATTTCATGCGCTATGATTGGTCAATTTGCGGTCCATAACTTACGGTACGGACCGAAAAATGAAATGGTCCACTGAGTGTACTTTTGATCTTTTAAAATATTCAAATCTTCGTTATAAAAAAATATTTCTGAATATATGAAAATCGCCGAAAAACCTTAATAAATTATTAGATATAACTTATTTTTGTCTAAAATCACAAGGAATCTGAAAGTCACTGGAATTTAATGTTAAACTCATTATAAGCGACAACTCTTTCGATCAAGGCTCTACACGGTACTAGTTGAGCGATTTTGTACGACTTTAACAAAACTAGATCAAACTACGAACTAAAGGGTGGTGAATAGCTAATTCAGTAAATGGAATTAAGATAGTTTTACGAGAAGAATTGACGTAATAGAGCTTATCACTTTTTAAGAAATTGATATCGTTTTTCTTCACGAGTTTCTCGTATCATATCGCGAATGGGCACGTCCTGGAGCGCTAAGCGCTTGGGCCATATTGCGGTAGAAGAAACTCGGAAAGAAAGGAAAGAAGGAAGGATGGAAGGAAGGAGAGAAAGAAAAGAGAGAAAGAAAAAAAGAAACAGAAAGAAATAAAATAGAAAAAGAAGAGAAACAAAAAGAAAGAACAATAAGACCTCCAGTTTCAACCTTAACATTAAAATGGCTTTTCTCAACCAACAACCAATCAAAACCATTGTCCCACATCAATCCCATTCAAAATAGAAGAGTGCTTACTTACCAATGCAAAAGTCTCCTCATCTTCTGCAAAGACAACAGCAGAGACTGCACAGAGGGCAAAGACTACCAAAAGCTTCATCGTCGTTTCTTTCCAAACTCAAGAACTGATTCTTCCTCAACGAAGCATCCTGGCTTATATACCCAGCTCTTCTTGATATTGCAACACACTTTTTCTCAGCACAGCTGAGTTACGGCTAAGCATATATGAACCACTGTTAAAATTATTGCTTTTTGCAGCTTTTCTCCCGTGTTGATTCAGCCAAATTTAATACTGTCAACTATATTGTTTCTTGCCGGGCATTTATTTTTCTTTATGCTGGTGTACTTTTTTTGTTTTTGTTTTGTCTTTGTTTTGTTTTTGGCATTCTGGGCTAGAGAAGAGAAATGAGACAAAATAACTGAAAATAATAAGAAAAGATTTCAGGTATCACTGATCTATATACAACGGGTCGGTTTTTTCCCCAGGTTCTTTGTTTTTCTCCCTTCACAAAAAGTAACAAGTTAAATAAGGGTTCAATCTGTGAGTTAGCCATGCCCTGACTTAGATCAGCCCAGAGGTTGTTTCAGGGTTCAATCTGTGAGTTAGCCATGCCCTGACTTAGACCAGCCCAGAGCTCGAGGTTGTTCCAGAGTTCGATCTGCGAGCTAGCCATGACTAAGACCAGCCCAGAGCTCGAGGTTGTTTCAGGTTCGATCTGTGAGCTAGCCATACCCTGACTGGGAATGACACAAGATCATTTGATACAAGATTTTTCAAAATTTCATAAAACTGAACGGGAATTTTTCTGAAAGCTCTCAAAATAGTTTTCCTAAGTGACCGGACATTATTGAAGTCGGAGGGGGGGTAACCGAAAAACATCAATGATATTAGGTAGGGGTCTGGAAAATTTTTTGCATCAAAAACGTTTTATCCTTCATCCCCCCTCCCCACCCACCCCACCGACTTAAATAATGTTAATGACCGGTCTCTACCAACACGAACAGCTTTACCAGATGCTGAACGTGTGCAAGGCTTATGGTTGAACAGCTCGAAAAAATGTTTCATTCTTGATTTGCTCAGCTGAGCATTTGACTGTCTCTTGGAAACAACGTTCACCATGATTGTAGACGCGATATTAAGTATCACTCTGCTCTGCTCTTCTGTTCTCTTCTCTTCTGTTCTCTTCTGTTCTCTTCTCTTCTGTTCTCTTCTCTTCTGTT